GGATGGATGGATGGATGGATGGATGGATGGATGCACAAATGATACGAGTAAGTAGGTTTGATTAGCCTCTTAATAAGTGGAAAAAAATGAAACCTTCATCTGAAAGTGACTTTTTCTATTTCCTCTGGTCATCTTCGTCTGATGTTAAAGTTTGTTCCTTTATCTGAAATATTTATTTATTATTTTTTTTTAAAAGGCAAAAAAACAAACTGATTTGTAAGAAGGAACATACAGTGTTGCAGCATTTTGATGTCCAGAACAAAATGTGAGCTAATTTAGAACAAACCACCAACCTGCCTCTCTCTGTTTATACAGAAAAACTAAAAAAAAGTGACGAGGAAGTGAAACTGAACCTCAGAGAAGGACGTATTCCTTCCACCCGTCTGACTGTGCGGCCCTCTCAGATTGATTTTCTTACATAAACAGTGAAGAAGTCGTTTTCTCTGGCTGATAAACCGTAGCTTTCACTGTGAGTTTCTCATGTTCTGTAATTGTTTGTAAAGCAGCCTGTTTGTTGCCTTCAGATGCTGAGTTTTCCGGCCGTGCAGCCTGTTTCTGGCCATCCTGAGTAAAGCGCTGCGCAGGAAAAGGTGCAGAGACATAAAATAGGAGCTGAGTTGTCACATAAAGCTTTACTCATCACCAGCTAACCCTTCCACAACTGTTACTATGGGCTGCCTAGCAACAGGCTCAATAGACTCAGAGGTGAGCGTCAGCACCTTCTCGTTCTTTTGGGAATGTTTTAATATTTTTGTTCTTAAAGAGCCATTTGGATTTTTAGCTGATGCACACAGTTCTCCTCCACAAACAGCCGGGATTAAAAGGCATCATGGAAACCTTCTGACTGATAAGATAGCTGGCCGGATGTCACCCTCTCTGTTGCTTGGCGATGCTATCAGTTCACTGCATGGCCTTCAGGGAGCGCTATTTACCTTTTGCTAAGTTGAACAAGAGCAAACACTGCTGTCCTGAAAAGAGAGCTCTGTGAACCAGGCTTGTTGTTTTAATGAGCACCTCTCTGTAAAATCTCCACCATGTTGGATTCAAAATGAGGCAAAACCTGTTCAACTTTAAGATGTTGTTGTTGCTGCTGCTTGTAGAAAAACAAGACTAGATGCTACAGCAGAATGTTAAAAGCCTGCAAATTGTGGCCTTTTTTTTTCAATCAGTAACCCCGCTGCTTTGGCAGCTTGCCTGGATTCACATGAATAAGGGAACTTATTCTCTCTCCACACATGACAAGAGTCAGCTTCTGAATATGCTCCAACTTCCTGGTCCTCGCTCTGCAGTTCCTGGTCCTCGCTCTGCAGTTCCTGGTCCTCGCTCTGCAGTTCCTGGTCCTCGCTCTGCAGTTCCT